TTTTGTCCTCCAGGACTGTGTGGGAAAGAACTCTTCCTTCCACCCTGTATGAACCTCCAGCATCCGGGACTGTGTGGTGAAGACCCCTCCTCCAAGGAGAGCGTGTCAGGAACAAGCTCTTAAAAGAGCTAAGTGATTCAAGCTCAGGGGAACATGCAGAGCATAGCAATCCCTGGTGTGATTATAACAGCTCCCTCCAATAACGAGACAAGGCTATGTTTAGAGGGATCAAGAAGAACTGTCTAAACCTTTATTTCCCTTGGGACCAGCCCATAAGGTCACAACATTAACATTGCTGTGAAAACTCAATAAAATCACAAACAGTCAAAGCATAGCAGGCAACACACAGTGACTTATCACAACACAATGGCACATTTTTAAAGGGGTGGGGGAGACAATATTTAACAGTAAATATCTCACCTGCCTGCAGAATTAGCAATATGCAAATCTACCCGAATATGCAAATGAACCAGTCTTGCAATTCAGGTAGTGCATATTGCTGTTGCTACCAACAGAGGGCACTAGACAAGCTCCATAGCCAAACACACCTAGTTGGTAGCAAACCTCAGCAGCACAGGAGAGCAGGCAATACATTTCACAGTACACACACACACACACACACACACTATAAACAATTACATTACACACACCCTGCACCTATAATGGGTACAGGGTGACTAAAACATAAGATAAATAAAGCAGCCTACATAAATAGTCTGTCTGAAGGTAGACTAGGGGCTTTAAAGCCAAATACATGAAAGAGTCATAGTCACAGGGGAGGAGGCTGGCAAACAGGCCTCTCCAGGACCAAGTGGCGAAGGGCACTTCGTCACAAACCCCAACACCCCCAGATAGCAAACCTAGCCCAGGACACCAGGAGAATAAACAACAAGTAAGTCAAACCAACAAACAACAAGGGGAGGGAGAAACTGGGAGGGAAATATTTGCCTCCTGTCATTAATAAAATTAAGATTATAGTTACACTAAAGCTAGTATAATCTACAATTTTATAGCATGACAGGAGGCTTCATATTTGCTGTTTTAACGCTCAGACAGCAAAGACCAAAGAAACACGATCCGCCGTACCAACCTAAACTCTGTGAAGATAGCTCCTCGTAACCGGCAGGAAAGCGTATGATGTCTTGGAGAAAAAATGCCCACCATGTCGGTACCTGAAGTCGCCGTGTTACTGACTGAAGTGAACCGAAAAAACCTATACGCCCCACCAATGCCAACCACAACCAAGCGGTACATGAAGGGCGAGAAAAAAGGAACAACAATTTAAACAAACGGTGATGTCAAACACCGCCTAAAGGTGGGAGCGCTACCAAAGTAAGAATATGACCCCTAGTTAATAGACAAATAAGGTCCGAACCGCCGAACCCATCTGAAGGAAAAACAAGGTATAATAACGGAAATAAATCCAGAATCAGTGAATGGGCAAAACCCGACAGAACCCACCATAGGAGCATGACAAAACATGTGTGTACCCCCTGGGGAGATGAATACCCGTCCTCAGGAATCGTAAAGGGAATTCTAAGCAGAACTAGGCCCACCGACAACAGTCGTACGCGCTACATAATCTAATTAATATGGCAGTCCCCAGTAATAAAATGACCGAACAATACCCGAACTCTGTAAAAGCGGTAGCAAAATTAGGAGATCCGTACCAGAACCAACTACGTCAGGGTCGCCATGCAGACCCAAGTCTCACAATCCCCAAGATCAAATGAGCAAGGGTCCAGGGAATCCAGGAACTAGGTTTGACTCTGCCGAAGCAGAGATCATAATTATAAAGTACCAGCAGACCGAGGCACCTATAGAAAGGTCCTGAGACCACACAAATGGAGGAGACTCGTCCACATCTCCGTGTCGAAGACTCCTGGAGGGAAGCGTTCATCGCTGAGCAAACAGGTCCGTCATCCAGCCGAACTGGTCGGGGCCTGATGGGTCCTCCTCCGTGGACTAAAGTCTTGACGCTGGGTCCTCCCAGAGAAAACTATTCCATACATACGAGAACTCGGGCAGAGGAGAGCGCAGGAGGCACCCTCTTGCGTCCAATCTGCCCTGCAGGACTCTACTCCTTGATATGTAGAGGAGGTCGATATTTCCCTGGTTGAAAACTAAATCCAGGGACTCGAACAACGGAAACGCAGGGAGCGTCTGACCTTTCGGTCTGGGAGGTACCTCGCAGAGGGTCCGGCAAGCCCGTCCAGGTAGACCGTACAGCAAGATGTCCTATATCAATGAGGAGTCACGTCCGGGTCCCAATGCGTGGAAAACGAGAAAGATCTCTTCAGATAGTTCTGGTATTCCTGAATATCCTCAATTCTTCCCAACCTGCCAACCAGGTTGTATTGTCGCCCAAATGACCGATGCACAAGATACCTATCTCACCAGGGAGAAAATAGAGGCCACCTTACCAGAACTGGGCCCCGCGGTTCCTAGAAGTTTCTTGAGGGCCGTGTCTAATTCAAAGTAACTAATGAATATACGTTCAATCGTAGACTCGTGCTCGGACTCCGAGGGGCTCAGATTCCTTTATCCCAAGCACCTCCAGTGGTCCAAATTGCGTTTAGGATAGGGTCGTCTGCCACCCCAGACTCGTGGCCCCGTCTGGGATGTCATCCGAAAGTGGAGGCAAGTGTGAAATTCCGGGTCAAGGGTCCAATCCCCCATAAAAGGTACGGGTTGGAGCTGAGATAAGCCTCTGTCAAGTATTTCCATGTAAAAAAGGACACATATTATACTTCCTCGTATGTTCCGCTAGCACAACTCACTCGTGTAGCGGAGAACAATCGGCTTTCCAGTGCGGACTTAATAGTATAGGCACTGCAGTGGGCCGCACTCAGGATCTCCTGAATACTAGACAGGTGCTTAATCAGCAAAACCGCAGTGCCCCATCGGGGTCTACGCCTGGGTTTGCGGCTACTTTGTTCGGGAGCCCGGCTGGGAATACCGCACAAATTATCCTGCAGGCTTCTCAAGCCAGCGGTCTACGGGACCCAGAAAGGCACCGATGGTGCTAAGTGATCGGGCAGAGACCATTCCAAAGAAACCAGGTGAGAAATGGATCATGGTGCCACTAGGGGCCATCATCATAATCCACACCCCCATTGTCCTCTCCCTCCAAGGGGAACCGGTCCGCCCGCCATTCAGCTAGGGCGGCCATGGTGGGGGGAGGGTTATGGGGACCTTCACCCCTGCGCCACATAAGCAGTATTGTCTGGCCGTCAAGGCCGATCGTATCAGGGCTAGACACTTCTCCAGAGACTAATCTTTCCGGGCGTCTGGTTCCGGGCCTTCACCATACCCATAGTGCTTATGCGCCCTTGCCTGCTCTCCTCTCGGAGAGTCTGACTCCTTCAAGTCATCTGCCTTTTTAAGAAGGTGGTCACTGCCGCGTCCGGTGGTCATCGCCTCCCCCGCGCCATATAGTCAGGGCCGTCTGGCCGATTGCAGAGGGGCTAGCCCACTCCTCAGAGTCTTATCTTTCCAGGGGGGCCTGGTTCAGGGCATTCACCCTACCAGTAGCACTCATGCGCACTTGCCTGCTCTCCTCAAGGAGAGTCTGCCTCATTCAAGTCACTGGTTCAGGGCCTTCACCCTTCCAGTAGCGCTTATATGTCCTTGCCTGCTCTCCTCTAGGAGAGTCTGACTCATTCAAGTTGCCTGCAGTTTTAAAGGTGGGCCCTCTAGTGTTATGCGCCTAATAAGCTTAAGGGAGGACCCTGGCTGAGCCTAATTCCACGGAGACGGTCACTGCCATAGTAGTCATTGTCTGCGCTGTTAACCTGGATAAGGGTTCTCCTGTGCAGCGGTCCCAGGCATAGCGACCTCAAGGAGTATAGAGGACAAGTGTCACCGGCAGGGAGATAGGTGCAGCACCCCATATAGTGATCGAGACAATTGGGCAGCGCAAGCAATGCACAAGTATGAGTATGTGGCAGTAGGCTTGGCATGCAGACATTCTGGCACAGACAGCACAGGCCAGATCAATGGGGCAAAGACAAAGCAGGCCAATCAATGGGGCACAGACAAAGCAGGCCAGTCAATGGGGCACAGGCAGAGCAGGCCAATCAATGGGTCACAGGCAGAGCAGGCCAATCAATGGGTCACAGGCAGAGCAGGCCAATCAGTAAGGCACGGACAAAGCCGGCCAAGTCCTGGGGCACAGACAAGTCAGGACCTTCAGAGATGTACAGGTGAGGAACTGCGCATTCCATTCTTCCGATAAAATGTACCTTTCGCTCTTCAGATAAGAGGTACATAACACTTCTTCACTTCTGTGTAACTGTACATAGTATATCACTGTGTAACTGTACTTAGCCTTCTAATGTGTAACTGTACATAGCATTCAGCTGTGTAACTGTACATAGTATATTACTGTGTAACTGTACATAGCATTCTTCTGTGTGACTGTACATAGCATTCCATTGTGTAACTGTAGATAACGCACTTCAGTTAAATAGTGCCTGACATTCCGTAAATAGTGAACTTGCATAATGAGTTCCCTAGTCAGGGAACTCACCAACTGAGTTACTTCACAAGAGGTGCTCCATTGGTCAATATGATAAAACAGAGCGCTGCAAGCAACCATCTGAACAAACAAAAAGGGGGGGGGGATGAGTATAAGTGGTAACACTGCCAGTTGTGCCTGTAACCCTTGAGGAATGTGCACAGCTCTATATAGCATGCCTGTGATCTATATCATCCACTATGGTCCCCAGTAGCCTAACCTGCCAGCCACATGAGGCACAAAGCCAGGACAGCCTGAGGGTACAATGCACCCAAGTCATAGCTGAGTCCCAGTCAAAGTTACAGCACATGTAGCAATCGACAGAACTAATGTCTGGTAACTGGTTGGCCCCGCCCCCACCCGACCACGCGGTCGCGGGGAAGTGGATGCTCGGGGACAACGCACTGCATGGGAAGGTAACCTCCCCACCCACACCGTGGGAGCAGTTATACCACGAGCGGATGTGTGGGTCGGGTGGGGGATGGAAGAAGAGGATCTCGCTCGGCGGATGGAGCCAGCGGGCGAGATCCAACACGTGGGACCACCGGAGTCTTACTCCGGGGTCCCGGCGGTCGGCAACGGAAAGCGGTCGGAGGACCGCTTTCCGGCGGCCGCAAAACGGATGAAAAGTGAAGGGGGCAAAGCCACCCGGAAAAGGTAGAGGGAGGGAGGGAGGGAAAAAAGGAAACCCCCCAAACCCGAGAAAAAAATGATCCCCAGACAAGGGGGCCCAAAACAGGAAAATGCAGAAAACTCATAAGAGAAAATACATTCCTACAGCAAAAAAGTAGGGACAGAATAATACAATCTAAATAAATAAATCATAGCAGCAGTAGGAAGGTAAACACATTCTAAACAAATAAATCCCTGCAGCCATAAGAAGGTAGATGCAGAAAAACAGAGTAAATAAATCAATCACTACAGCACTAAGCAGGTAGGTGAAGAAAATACAGTATTGCTAAATAACTCAATCACTAGAGCACTAAGAAGGTAGATGCAGAAAATACAGTATAGCTAAATCAAGCAATCACTACAGCACTAAGTAGGTAGATGCAAAAATACCCTCTAAACAAATAAATCAATACAGTAATAAACATACAAATACAGTAAAATATCCACAACCACCCATATATAACAGGAGGCAGTAGTACTCTGACCTGTACTGATTGCGGAGCAGCAAAGAAAGAGGAAATAGTTAGTTGGGAGAAGCCTTTTATAGATTCCTGATTTTTTTGTCTCTGGAGTTTTTATCTCTATGTTAATATGCTGCTGTGGAGTTCTAGAAAAGAGAGACTTAAGCAAATATGAAGCCTCCTGTCATGCTATAAAATTCACCACAAGGTATCTAAAATGGTTTCTACTTCAAACATATCTATAGCCAGGAAAAGGTGATACATTTTACATTTTACAATCTTCATCATGATATATTGTATGAATTTAAAAAATGTTTTCCCATTTTTTATAAATAGATTTGCATCGCATTAAATGTGCATTCAAATGCTTTTTTTTCTTTTCTGAAAATAGAACCACAATGATTCAACATCAATGACAGTTTGGTAATTATTCTTGAAAGATAAGTGAAATAAAAATAAATAAAAAAACAAGATATATTGTGGAAATGTGTAGCACAATAATCAAATTTAGCAATGCAATAGTTTTTCTTTACGTAACCGTAACATTTCACTACAAAGTGAACTATGTTGAATTATTTATTATTTTATTATTTATATAGCGCCATCAGATTCCGTAGTGCTGTACAATGGATTAATGATTGCAATACTTCTATTTTGACACATAAGCTTGTGCCTGGATGTAAAACAAGCAAAACACTTAGGATCAAGTCTTAGGCTATTACATCTCACTATGTACTGGAAGCACAATTCTGCTGAATGGTGGGCTCAATCAAAAGAGAGATAAAAGAGTGCCAATGAGACACGTTTTTGTTTTCTCTCCCATACTACTGTTTTATCTCCCATACTACTACTGAGGAGCTAAGTAGCGGTTGTCAGTACCCCTGCTGAATATACCCACTTAAGTCAGCTTTTCCCTGCCAACTACTGATCTCTAAATCTTTCACTGGTTCCCTGTTACTATCAGAGTATTGGCTGCTGATATAGTGACATAGCTTCTCCAAATAACATTAATCCAGGCTGAATGCTTTCGGGTCAAACAGAAAATCTATTGATTAGGGAACGTATACCAAACTCCCTTTCAGACAATTAGGACACAACAGCACAAGTCCCAGGAGAAAATGACATCAACAAATAAACAAACAAATATTAACAGGGCAAGGAATCATGCTCCAGGCGAACAAAAGTACCATAGATTCTATACTGGAACCTAGTATTCTGGAGGTGATAAAAAAGTACATTCTGATTTTACAGAAACCGATTGATTATTCACAGCAAGGAGGGATTATGAAATTAACCTAATGACAGTTAATATAAACAGCTGATGCCAGTAAAACTTTCCATGAATGTAACCAGATGCAAAACAGTCTACAAAACCCCTTATCAAAACACAGAACCCCAATATCTTAACAGAGCACCGCAGTCCTGATAGTCTTGGAAAAACAAAATGGTGAGTAATCCAAATTGCCCCTCCCCCCCATACCCTCATCCACAAAACAGTACCCCCTTCTAGGCCAATCATAGTTGGTGGGAAGGAGGCTGACCAAATGCCAAGGTAATGGAGTTTTCAAGTACATTTCTCCCCCCTCCAGGGGTAGACTAACCTGGTACCAGACCTCCAACTTGTCTGTGCCAGGATTAGTCTGGCAGTGATCCCTAAAAGGTTCCAGTAGCCTTATCTCGGCTTCTGGGGAGTGAATGCAACTGCATCCACTTCCTAGTGCTTCCACTGCTGTTGGGAAGTGATGTCAGCTGCATCCCCTTCTGAAAGCTCCTTCTTGTTCCCCTACCAGATACTAGAGTAGTGCGCATAAATAGTGCAGTTCCTTAGTTTCCTCCTTTTCTGAGGGACTTTCTGAGACACTTCTAGATGAAACTGCAAATATGTATTTACCTGAAAGAAAAAAAAATTATATTCATACATGTTACACATTGATAACAGACTCAAGGATGGAAACAAAACAGGAACCAGAACCGAATATCCCTCTGTACCTCAGAAGGCTTTTTGTGTGACTCTTTCTGCACCTGCAATTGCACCTTTGGTTTTGAGAAGCTGAGAAACAGTATCATAAGAATGAAGGGTTACACTTATATAATAAGTATGGGACAGTTACATAGAATTTGCCCGGTTCTCGCACCTATTATCCATTAGGGGACCAGCCTTAGGTGTAATGCATACGTCCCCTAATATGCCTCAAAAATAGATTCTTCTTGCTGTTACCATCACTTGGGTCATTCACCATGTTATGTGCAAAGCACATGGCTTTTGTGGTTCTTCACAAATTGCATCTCAGAGAGAGAGCTAAACCTTTGACCATTAAGACCATAGATGATAGACTCCTCCAGAAACCAATCATAACTCATGATATGTTCTTTGCCTATCTCTAAGGAAAAGTGTACTCCGAGTTATTGCTTCTCCTTCTTGTCCCATCATCTTCAGGTTTCCTTGGTTTGCCAAACACAATCCAAGATTGGATTGGAAACGGGGAGATTTACTCATTGGGAACTTTTTGCAAGAATTCAAGAATTAATGCCTCCATTCTATTTAACTGTGGGAATTATCAATGTACTCACTACTGCACCCTTAACCACTGTTGTTCCACCTCAATTTGATTCTGTTAAAGAGGTGTTCAACCTCATACTGAAACACTGCCTCCACATAGTACTATTGATTTATTATCTGGTAGGATGCCTGGTAGTATACCCTTTGTCCCCTCATGAAAGCAAGATAATGGATGAGTACATTCAAGACGATCTTGCTAAGGGTTTTAAATGTAGATCATCCTCTCCTGCCTGTGCAGGGTTTTCCTTTGTCTCCAAGTCATAATCATAATCATAAATCATAATCAGTAACATCTGAACACAGTACAGTGGTGAGAAGAATATTTCTAAAAAACAAATTGCATAGCATTTCAAGTATTTCATATATTGAGTTCAGATCATAAAAGGAATATTATAGCTATGGGACAATGTGTGTATATAAGGACTGTGGTGTGCATATCCCCAGTCACCCTTGGCTACTATATGCTTCACATCCCAACCTACACTATAGTTTCTTAGATGGTTCACATTAGTGCGACTTCAGTCTGGAAGCAAAAGCCAGGTATGATGATAACCAGGAGAGTGGGTGAGGGGGAAGAGCCATTCCGTGTCCCTCAGCCCCTCCCAGGGCAGAATGGAAGTGCCGGCCCATCGGTGGTGCATGACCACCATATGTGCAGATCAGAGCCCACTTCCTCACCACATCTCCACCATAGCGTCTAGACCTCAGGGTACATACAATTTAACCTCTCCGGTGTTCTATACAAACCAATCAACAACTTATAATTTATTTCCTATTGCTTAGTGCCCTGGTGGGTCAAAATGTGGACTTTCTCCCATTGATGGCCTGAGAGCGTGATGTCCGTGACATTTTCCCAACAAAATATATGTGACATGGGTCTGACTGAAACTGATGTCAGGAGCATTGAGTATAAGATTGATATTCCTCTATATACGTGTTCCTGCACCACGCACAGTTCCTCAAATGCAGATAGTGCCCTGTGGAATAGGTGCTATCCAGTCTGTGAAGCATAGTATGTCTTCACCTGGAAGTAACAAAAACTGTCCAGGCCAATCAGGGTTTTGTTTGGGATTAAGTTAGGGAGTGGGGTCAATGCATTCAGGGAGCACCATTGCCATATATAGGTCCATTTGGTCCATTGAGGTCTCCAGGAGTAAGTCCACCCACTATGTGTGGGTTGTAAGTGACAGGGATTAAGTGGCCTGGTGCCATGGTAAGCAAGAGTTTTGTTCTAACAGAGTGTCATGTCTTTAAAGTAGCTCCAATAAACGAATGGCTCAATGTCTGTTTTTCTTTTAATGAGTTATGCAGTCACACAGCTGAAGAAAGTCTTCCCTCCACTTGCGCCTTCTCCAAGTCTATCCACAAATTGGTTGTTGGGAGGGCATGCCAATCCACAATATGAAGGAGGTGTGCAGCCTTATAGTAGGTCTGGATTGAAGGCAGATCTACCCCTTCTTTCCTTTTTGGTAGGTTTAAATGCGCTCTCCTGATTCTGGGTACTCTAACCTTCCACAAAAACTGTGAGATGGCAGCGTCTAAGGTCATGAAAAATGTCTTCGGCAAGATTATTGGGATAGGTACGGTAGTCCGAGAAGGAGGTTCATCATGATTACATTCATTCTGCCAAACCAAGAGACACAGAGGATCAACCACTGTACCATATAAGTCTTCAAAATTGGCGATAAGGGAGTAAAATTGTCTCCATGCAACTGTTTCAATCTGTCAGTAAGCCAGATTCCCAAGAATATGAGTCTCTATGCATATCAAGTGAATGTGAATTGTATTTTCAGAAGGGCCTCTGCTGACCCCCCAAGGAAATAGGCATATCTTTTAGATTTGTTAGTGTTCAACTTCAGATTGCAACTTCAGATTGTATTCCGTGAAGGCTTTCAACCAATTCAGTAGCGAAATCAGAGGATTGTTGATAAAAAAACAGCGTGCCGTCTGCACATGTGGCCCCCTTAT